CAGGTGTTCGCTCATGCAACGATGCACACACACTGACCTCTTCTTGTGCAATCGAACGACTGTACCGAGTGCGATGAGTAGTGAAGATACTCGTACCAGCTGTTGTAGCCGATGTAGTGTCGGAGCAAAGGCCTCCTTGTAGATGTTGTTATGGTCTTATTCTTTTAGTTCAAGCTCAGGATGGTAGCTTGGTTGTGAGCAGAGGAGGGCGAGTCCAGACAGCTCTTGCAGAGGCTCCGCTGAATGCGGCCAACTACCTCTGTGGGGTTGTACTTGCGGGACAATGAATGCCCCGAACCGTAACATCCCCCCTAGTATATTATCAACTCATAATATACTAACGCCTCATCCGGTACTTGTAACCAGAGGAATGGTAGAACTGCGAGGTTCTCCATCAACCGATATGCCTCGAAAGGGAACTATCCACCCGATACTTCACGCCGCCATCTCGTCTCTCTCTTTTCTCTGAGGGACAAACTTTCGACAAAACCCTCTCGTGAAGTCGTTGGCATGGAGAGCGATCTCCATGCCAGTGGAATAGACCGACATACCGCCACTGGCTATAGACTAAGTGTTATCACAATCATGACAGCGATTGCGACCAAGTCCTACAGGACCTACCAAGTCCACGCATGCACGCTTACACACAGTGGACGCACCAATCAAACATCGACTCGGTACCGCCTACCGAGTAGGAGCAAAGACATAGGCTCAAAAAAGTGAACCCCATCATCACGACTGAACCTCAAGAAACCTCATCCTCCGATAGCACCGAATTCACCAGAGACACCCAGACTTCACCATCCAAATAACAACACCAGAAAACTGCTTCCCCCCACCATAACATCAACGATACGAATAAGCATGCGAACGACGGGAAAACTCCTTGCCCCCACCATGACATCAACGCAACAAATGAATCCTGGGGTGCGACCAAGACGGTCTCCAGTGAAGACAACGTCATAGCTCCTGCCGCGCCATGTCTCCAGATCTGGTTGCTGCCGCGCACCTGTCTGTAACGGTCTCGACAACTCTTGTCCCTGAAGCTTCAGCCTTCTGCATTAGTCTCTGGAAGGTGAAACCTAAAGGGAGGCACTCCGAGTTTCACGGGCGGACGACGGCACACGCGGTGGTGCGGCTGGGAAGCTAGTTGCGGGTAGGGCAGATGTCACGCGCAATGTAGGCATCCAATCGCCATTCTACACTACTAGTTTGGGGAATAGCTTTATATTCTACACTCCCACATCAAAGAGTCGAAAGATGAATGCACTCGGCGACAACCTGGTGGAGAGGCGAAGATTGCCTGTTCGGTCCATTCTATTGATATGGTTGATGCGAAACCACGCAACAAACGTGCAACGTCGTGGCGGTTCTACGGCTCTCGGCACGAGGAACAAGAGGTCATGATGGAGCAAGAAGCAAATACTTGATATCTACAGCAAACTGGTTACTTATTAACACGCGACATTTTCTTGGGTACTTCGCTTGGTGTGGCGGTGGCTGTTGTTGCTGATCTTCTCGCATCAAGGCTAAGCTGCTGTTCCTTGTCCAACGAGACTCATCATAACCTCCCCCCCTCGGAAGGCAATAATTCACGGTGTCGGAGAAGTGATATTACGCCGCGGGAGATCCCCCCTTGCTGAAGACATCCAGAGGGTGTTTGCAGCAATATATGGTACTCCCGCGACGTACTTCGAACGTAGGAGAAACTCCCGCCCATGCCATGGCGTGGAGTACCCGATACACTCACAACTACTTGAAAACAACTGGACGATAGCATGCTATTTTTGCAGGATTGAAAACGGACTACGCGTGCCACATGATTGGACACACACGCGCAGTGCGTGGGAGGGTACTCGAGCAAAACAAACGGTAAGCAGCGGG